GCTGGAGCATCACACACTCTCGGCTGGGACAGGCATGGGAGCAGAGACGATGCTCGAGGCTCAATGCTCGCCGGGCGGATTTGCATGAGGGGGTCGTTCTCCCGGCATGCATGCGGGATTTAAGTGCTGATCTGGGAGAGGAGCCACCACACTGGCCTTTCTCCTTTCGTCTTTCCCACCGCAAGCCCAGAGTCCTGCAGGGAGATCGCCATGGCCTGGCCCCTCTTTTACTTGGCAGTTCTCAGTTCCTGTGCAGGTAAAGGGGGAAGAACTGACCCTCAAGAGGGCCGCTTCTATGGGGCCTTCTCAGCATCCGAATGATTGTGTGGATGAGATGTGAGGGACCAGCGCAAATGTAACCCTCCTGTTCTTTATGTGCAGGGGTCCGATCGCAGCTAGCGGTGATTCAGCCAGCCTCGCTCTCGGTGTCTCTGGGCCAGACGGTTCAGATCCCTTGCTCCAGAAGTTCTGGCGGCAGCTGGGCCAATCTGAACTGGCAGCGCCAGAAGCCTGGCCAGGCCCCCCAGGTTGTGCTTTATGGCAGCAGCACCAGGGGACCTGGGATCCCCGATCGGTTTACTGGGACAGCCTCTGGAACCACCAACTATCTGAATATTGCTAATGCCCAGGCTGAGGACGAAGCTGATTATTACTGTCTCTCTTGGGAGAAAAAGAGTAACACGATACACAGTGATATATTCAGATGGGGAGGACAAAGCAAAATCTTCGTACTTCCTCCCTAGGGAGTGAAACCAAGACTTGGTGAGCTTCAAGTGGCCTGTGGCAGAAGGGTGTGAGGTATAAATCTGAGTGGAATGGGAAAGGTTTTCGGGTCCCAACTTCTGCAAGTGCTTCCACCATAAGGGATTTAAGAGGCAAAGCAGGAGGCAGCCCGGCAAGCTTTCCTTCCCTCCTCAACCCCGAGCTCCTCTAGGGAGGTCAGCATGGCCTGGGCTCTGCTCTTCTGGGCGCTGCGCAGTTTTCGTGCAGGTAAGGCACGGAAAGTCCATGTCACAGTGGCTCAATGGTAAGCTGCGAAGTGCAGTGCATGTGCATTTCACAGGACATTCAGGCTTTTCCAGGACTGGAGAGTTTGAGAAGCGATTAACAGCATTTTCCTCTCATTGTGCCCAGTTTGCACTGCAGAAAACCTCCTCACTCAGCCTCCTCCCCAGTCCGTGTCTCCGGAGGAAACCGTCCAACTCCCCTGCACTGGAAGTGGTGGCGGCAGCTGGAACTATTTCAGCTGGTACCGACAGCCGCCTGGGCAGCGTCCCCCGTTCGTGCTGTATGGAGGCACCAG